ACACACACACACACACACACACACACACATTATTTTGGCTATTAATTGTCTGTAATGGAAATGAACAAACTAGACATTAAAGAAGTATTTATGTCATTGAAATTCACATGTGTAGTTACCGTGTATACCTGTTGTTATCTGCTAGCCTTCTGCCATTACAAAACATTTATTGAAATTGGTTTAATATTTTGTTTCATTTCCTCTGGGGAGTGTGTCCATGTCTTGGCAATCATTATGAAGCTGTCAGATTGGCTGCTTGATGGACTCGAGGATGTCCCCAGTGAACCTGCCTGCACATCTCGCCCTCAACAGTGGGACAAGCCCAGAGGGTGCAAGATCCTTCCTGAGCCAGTGACCACAATGATCATCGCCCAACCTTGCAATGTGGACAGGAAGAAACGACCCCTCACAGCCAACTTTCCTGACAACCGGTACTTAGCCTGGTTTAAACCAGACCCTTGTCCTTCACTTTGCTTCTTACAAGGAAGGGTCTGGACTTAATGCATAGAGAATCGATTTCTTGCAGGAGGCGTGGCCTCTGCTGAAGTTTAAAATGATTGGATCAGTTGGCTGCGACGTATGTCGCTGTGACAGAGGCTAAGCTAAGAAGCTAACCGGAAATCGCGTGTGCTGTAAACAACCCTACTGAGAGGAGAAATATACCGAGCTGAACGAGACGACTGTAAATGAGAGCTGCTGCTTTATCAGACAAATTTATTTTAATTTGGAAGCCTTATCAACACAGACTGGCTTCAATTACTTCATCCACTGCCGTATGCTAAACTAACTAGTAGACACTGCAACGTCAACGTCGTTCAAAGCTCCTCCTGTTCTCTGACTGGCCCAGGTGAAATAAACTACAAGCAGACACTGCGCAGAAAATTGACGTTCTGCTCTCTGATTGGCCCGGCTAAAAATCTGCCAGTGAAATCCAACTCAATGGGAGAAGTCCCAGATGGAGCAGTGAAGGGAAACTAGAATTGAGCGGAGCTGCGTAGGAAGGCAAGGGCCAGGCTAACCGGTACTTAGTGTTTTTATGAGTTTGAATAACATTTTCTTTATTACAGGAAGAACATATTTCTAATAACATTTTTTTACTACAAATATTCTTGCCTGTCAGCAATATGTATGATAATTATTAATGTTTCTGAGGTATGTATTATAAAATTACAAACTGAAAACTATAACAGAAGACGTCATTTATTAAAGATTTATTTTTATTGGTCAAAGACACGAGGAGAAAAAAGACAAACATTTGTTCTCGTTTCATGTCCGCAGCAAAACTTTTATCATACATTCAGCTCAATCTGCGGGCCACACAGTATGTCATTTTTTTATGCTCATTTCCTATTTCAAACTTGATTAACTTCTAACATCTGTTTATGCAGGAAGATCCAGGTTCTGCAGTCAAATTGACTACCTGCGCTCAATAAACTCCTGCCCTATATCATCCCTTGCTAACCCATCCACTGAGATGGAGCAGACAACGCTTGGACCACAACCCATTGGAAGTGGATTGTCTTATCAGGTAGAAGTCTTTAAATCTGTTGTCATGAGTTTTAAGCTGAATCATTAATAAGAAATGGCCTAAATGATGTAAGAAAGCAGCAGCAGTACCAGATTTGATTTATACATGGGAAAAGGCATGTATAAATCATATCTGGTACTGCTTGTCAACAAATTTAAACTTGATTATTAAATTAAATTAAAAACCAGTGTAGTACTTAAAAATCCCTTTAAATTTACTTTGCCTCAGGCTTTCCACAAATACAAAGCTGTCATATGACATTGTTTTGTGTGTTCCGCCACAAAGTTCCTTCTGAAGCATAACATTGTCTCGCTGAAGATCTACATTTTTTAGCACTTGTTGGGACAACATCCTGGCATAACTGTCCTGGTCTGCTTTCAGAGACTCGTTTTCAGCCTGCTGTGCCAGCATGTCCAGTGCAGAAACCTCTGCAAATGCAAAACAGAAAGAAACATTGAAATTAACACTCACAAACACTCTCTCTCATATGCACGTTTATAAATAGAAAAATGCATTGCTGATCTATTTAAATGCTGACAAACAATGTCCATCTTCTTTTGCAGTTGCCGGTACTCCTCCCATTGTCAAGACTGACTGACAGCAAAGCTACTGGATGTGGTGATTTGGAGTTTCAAAGGCTGCCAGATATTGCAAGAAATCACCCACACTGGTTTCAAGTGCAGGGACAGCTACTTGTTACTGGTGCTCCTTTCTGTGACTTTGTAACCTACACCAGACAAGACCTTGTAATAACAAGAGTTTACCCTCACAGACGAAATGGAGGCTATCCTGTCAAAAAAGTGTTCCATGTACAGTAATTTTTATGTGCAAACATAGAGGGTGAATAAACTTCAAGTGTAACTTACCCCAAAATCAACTTTTTTTAACAAATAAACTGCCCAAATTGTGTCTTAAGGGTAATACCTAGCTATTTTTGACCTAAATTTAACATTTTCGTCTAAAATAGTTTAAATCGTCAATATTTGGTCAAAAACGGCTTGGTACTGCCATCTAGGGGTTTAAAAAAATACTACCACGTTTGAAGTACCTGTGACGTGCTGTACTGTGTGACATGTCACAGTACTGTGCTCATATAAAAGGCTCTCCGTAGAGACACGCCCTGCAGAGATTCAGGAGTTAGCCATAGCATTGTTGATGGTAGCTGTGGTAGAAGCTGCCTTCTCCTCACCCACAGTGAAAACATGGAGTCTATCAGTCATAAAACAAACTGAATTAACTTACACATCCTCTTTGTGCTTCAAGAGTTTTTAAACTGTGGTTACTGTGTCATGTAGTTTAGATCCGGCCAAAAATACACACACCCTCGCACACACATATTGTCCCCACATGTGCCATAAAACATGTCCACACACACACACACACACACACACACACACAC